TTAAAAAAATTCAGTTACCATGTCATGCACAAGTGTCATAAACTAAACAAGAAAACTGTCTTAACCTCCCCTTACTAAGCTTCATCTGTGTCTCACGCTCCCCCTCCCAGACACTGCAGCTTACAGCGGGAGTGTCAGTCCAGCCAGCATTGGGTAGGGCTAGGTTTGGCTATGTGTTGATTGACTGCAGGCTTGTGATTCAGCAGTCACAATGCTGATAGCTTCATGCCTTGCAACCTTTTTTTTTTAATCCCACTATAGTGTAAGCAGGCACAGTGTACACAACTGTGGCAACTGTACTCTAAATTCAGAAGCAGAGTAGCATAATGGTCATATAATGACAGAAAATTGCATTAGCTGACATCACAGGCAAACCCAACCATTATTTATGGAAATCTGAAGGGGGACTATGGGAAAACTACAAATGTAGATGTAAATTAAACAAAAAAAGCACGTTAGCACATTTTTTTTTTCAATTGGAGGCCTTAGTTTTACTTTAAGTTCTTTAAGTATCATTCCTGATAATGTAGAATATTTATAGATAATATACACAAATATTTCACGCATTTTGTGTACCTGGGAACCTCTTTAAATTCAAGATATATTATATATTTATATTCCTCTGTAGTTTTGTTTTGCACATTTGATGTACTAGGCTGAAAGTAATAAGTCCTGATAAAATAAGGTCCTTGCAATCATTTGCCCATTGTCTGGTTCCTCATCTCTCCGGTCTACACTTTTAAAGGCTTTTTGCTGGCAGCAGAAAATCCAGCTTCCTACACCTGTATATTTAAAGAGCTTAAATGAGAGCCCTTTCCCCTTGCACAAAGGCTAATAAATACCTCTCAAATGTCAATGATTTCCTGCCCATTGTATAGCAGAATTGATTCTGAAGACTTGTGCTGGAGGTTAAGTGACATATGAATCCCACACTGTCTCTAATGAACATTTAATTTCCATGTCTGTGAAGCATTCTTAATTATACTTGAATATATCAGATTGCATTTGGAAATGACTCGGACTGTAGCTAATGAAGATAAAGACAACAAAAAACTGGGACAGAATAGTTAAAGTGTTACTAAACCCACAACAGTAACATCAGTCTGTATATGCAGTAAAGCAAGCTTGTTATACTCACTGTGGAACCTAAGGGGTTAATCCTCTGCATTGTGTAAAAACACTGTTTGATCCTGACCTGCTTGATCCTCCCCATTTTCCAGTGTCCCTCCTCTTATCTCCTGATAAGACATATTGTGTCACACTCTGCACATGCTCATTTTGGTGTGTATTGCTAGAGAGGTTTTATTTTTCTTGGGAGAGTGCATGTGATCAGCACAGGGCCAATCCGCACTGTCCAGACAGAGGTCAGGGGTTCTGCATCCTCCTAGAGCAGAAAGAAAACTCCTTCTACAAGCTTTAGTTAGTGGTGGGCTGGACACACAAGTCTGCTATAACTGATGAGAAAAGGTATTTAGCAGTTTATATTTACTAACATAATTGCATTTCCATGTTGTGTGTACTGTGGGAGACCAGATATAGTGAATGCAGGGTCCAGGGTTTAGTAACACTTTTTGCAGATCTCAGCCTAGGTGGTTAGAAATTGTAAGGATCATAAGTTTGTTGGTAACATATGTAGAGGTTTCAAGCAGGATGTTACCTTTTTAATGCCAACCAGGCTTGACATTTTTTTCTTGTGTCAATGTTGAAATTTAAGATGCTGCCCTCACAGGCTAAGAGAGAAGCTTCTCATTTTGCCATGGTGACCCCTTTTTTGCCATTTTGCTCCCTTTCCTTCCATGTGCCAATAGTAGAACCCTGGTGATTGGCTGCTCAGACATGTCCTAGAGAGGGCATCTTGCTTTCACCTCCAGTGGATGAACGGAGTATGGGGAAGTGAAAGAAAGGTGATTATATTGACTTTACCATTTCAGTTCTGGGAATTCAGTACTATGTTGGTGGAAAAGACAAAACATACACCTAAAATGAACCTGTAAGATTAGACATGTTGAAGCTGCTATTGCTAAATTGTTCTTAAAGGTGCAAGCTTTTTAGACTTCATTGCCTGCATGCTTGTTCCAGCTCAGTGACTTCATAGCCAGTGACGCCAAGGCCAAAGCATCCTTGCAGTTTTTTAGTAAACCTGTCACTGACCATTATACCAACCAAGAGAAAATGGGTAATAAGCCAGAACAATCCTTTCTTCAGTGCAGCTCCACATGCGGCAAAACAAGTCTGATGGCCCTCCAGGGTTTCCTAATGCGGTTTTTGCCTCACCATTAGAAGAGAGGATTGTGGCAGTTCAGTAGTACAAAGTATCCAGTTTTTATCCAGAAAGAAACAGATAATAGAGACCTTTAGGGGATGTTTACTGAATCGTTGATCTGTAGTTGATGAACAGCTGAGTAAATGCTTAAGTGCTCCAAAGATTGTTTTAGTAGAGGTTCATTGTAATTATGCTGTATCCATATAACCAGATCCAAACAACAAAAGCTAAATTATGGTTCATAAATGTGATGTTTACTATGACCCGGTAGGTTTTAAAGCAAACCTGTGCCTTACCCAGCAGCACATACTTTTTATTGGGTCCCCCACCAATCTGTTCTGCTGGCTGTAGTGAAGAAAATACCTACTACTTGCATGTATGCAGGAGTATGTTATTGCAATGGTTGGTGGCGAAGAACAGCGATAGTCCTGTGTCAGCTGGGACTTGTAGTTTCCACAAGGTGACTTCCATTGCTCCCAAGCAGCTTAGTGAACTGGCAGAAGGCAGTACGTGGGCAGGGCAGGGCAAAGCAGAATTAATATAAAGAATATTTATATAAAGCCACTATATGATTTACTTTATTTTCTGTTTCTGTACTTTTTATTGGAAATATATCCAAAAACAGTATTCTACAGTATTCTAATATTGTACAGACTGTGTTCTGCTGAGTCACCCAGCTGACATCTCACCGTTCCAGCAGTTTTCATGTTTCTTACTTACAATTATGCAAATTAGGAGTTCTTTTTATCTACACTTAGTCCATCTATGCTCTTGGTGGTACCTTTTTCTTTTTAAATGTTTAACTGAAACCATAGTGAAAGTCTGGACCCCCCATTAGTTCTCCACCTCATTTCTGTTTTTTCACCGAAGCTCCATGAACACGCAGTAACTTTTCCTTATTTGCTAACATCTGCTTCTCCTCTCCATCAAAGACATTATACTCTGTGGGCTTCATTGACTATTTAACTAAGTGAGACAACTTTCTGCTGGAGGTACATCATGCACAATGAAGGAAGGTGACTCATGTACCCACATCTAACTATCTGTTTGATGATAGTCTTTTATTAAATGTTTTGTCTGCTGGGGATCATTTCCCTATCCCATGTTATTAAAAATTGAATTTACAAAAAAATCAGGCAACATTGTTGAAGGCTATCTTTTGGTTACAGCAGACACACTTGGTTGTCACAGTCATAAAAATGGTCATGTTGCTGATCATTTTCACAGCAGTCTTCAAATTAGGCTTTTAAGATGAGTCAAAGAAGTCAGTATTCTACTAGGGGCGTTGAAGTCAAACTGGGACTTTTGAGTTTATATAATAACAGAACAAATTTCAAGGAGCGGAAACTGCATTTATATTTTGACTCCTCTGCTACATTTATACACTTATCCCAGCATTTAACTAATGCCTGGAAAGCTTCAGCATAGAAAGATTTGTCAGTACGCCTGAACCATCCTAGAACAGCCTGCTTCACTTCATCATCCGTGCTGAAATTCATCTCTTGTTCAATTTCATGACAGGTATATGTTATGTGTCGATTATCCAGGATCAGGTGTTCCACGCGAGTGTTCACAGGAATGACTGCTTTGGCCTTGAATCACTGATGGACGTATTGCCATCTTTGAAATGTTTACACCATTCAGATGTCTTACTGCGGCTGAGCGTCTCATCACTGTACTGTGCCTGAAGTCTTCTGTAGATATCCGCAGGTTTTATGCCTACGTTCACAAGAAAGTCCCACACAAGCTCAATCCACTATGTGGTTGCATTTCAAAGGCAACAACTGTTGTGGTGTGCTCTCTTGTCCATGCTGTATACATATTATGAAGGGCAATACGTTTCAGTCTACTGTTAATAACGAATATAGTATTGCTTGCTTCTTTAATTGTAATACCACCTATGTGATTTATTTGATTACTTGTAAACTTTGCAATATTCAGTATGTGGGACGCACGACCAGACACTTAAGGGATAATTTTTATGAACATCTATATAGTATAGAAAGACATCTCTCTACACTAGTGTGGCTCGCCATTTCAATAATTGTCATGCAGGAGATATTACGGCAGTACAGGTACAGGTTATTGAAAAAATGTGTCCGTTAACCCCTTGGCGCCGACGCCTCCTGACCCTTTAAGGGTTTCAGAAGTCAGGAGGTGGGCGGGGCTTTAGGGTCATGTGACCACCGTTATTTGCTGTCACATGATCGGGAAAGGTCCCGATCGAAAGAGGAGATCAGGACCTTTCCGTGAGTACCGGACATGTGTGCTGGAAGCGTGCAGGGTGTTTTTTTCTTAATTGCACACAAATGTGCGGCCGCTTGGTGTCTAGGCCCAGATGCCGGGAGGCAGCACATTTGTGTGCGGCCGGCGTGAAGAGGTTAAAAAGAGGTGGTGATATGTTTTTGTAGTTATGCAAAAGGGAGGTATCCTGGATATTCCATCTTAATACACGTGTCCCACAGGGCTTGAACCATGAATGGGATATCACATATTTTTATGATTGATAGACAACATGTCTTTGGCTTACCCTTCACCCCTACATATAGATGCATGTGTGTATATGCACATGTGCATGCATCCACATATATATATATATATATATATATATATATATATATATATATACTTTCATATACTTCATTGCTCAATTTATTGGATGCACAACATGTTTATTTGGGCACATCATGCACCCATAATGACACTGTACTGCTTGTGGGGGGTGATGAAGATTTTTTTTTTTCACACTGGTTGCTTTTACACCCATAAAGGCTGTAAAAGCAATCATTTCTCCTTCTCTCTGGCTGCATTCTTGCAGCCATTGAGAAATACTGTGTGAGCTGTGATTGGTCACAGCTTGTCACATGGTACAAGGCTGTTGTGAATAGCCTTGTACCATGTGACCTCTGTGATCTATCATAGATTTCACAAGTAGTAAGCAATGATGTCAGAAGTGCTTACTACTTAAGCTACTAAACATGTGATCACTGATTGGCCAATCAGTGATCACATGATCGGGACCTCACTGATTGGCCAATCAGTGATCACATGATCGGGACCTCACACAGAGCTCCCGTACAGCGATCAGTGTCGCGCGCACACAGGCAGGGAAGCGGGAAGACATTTATAAACAGTCACCCGCTCCTGCACTGCTCCCATCTGGCCCTCTATATACATGGGCCAGACGGGAAGTGGTTAAAATGCTTGTTCAGTCAAAAAACTTTTTTTCTTTAAATTTTGGATATACTTGGGAAGGTTTGGAGCTGCTGTTGGGTTTTTACTGCTTTCTGGGACACCATTGGAGAGATTTGTCCTTACTATCATAGAAATAGCAGCAAAAAAGATGCTATCACAGACGAAGCAAAAAAGCTCTTTTTTGTAGGGGTAGTTTATAACTTTTGTCAGCTTTGTATGGCTGTCTTTTGTCCCTGTTGCAGATTTTCCTTCACTTTTTGTCTGGTGATATTATGGCTACCAGGAATTAAAGGGCCTAGTTATTCCTAGTTTTAATTCCTCCTGATATGTTTTCAATCTAATCAATGGAAAAAATATAAAAAAAAGTGTGTTTTAATGCACTTTTTTAGTGAATGTCATCATGCATCATAACGTACATCCACAAATGTTGATGCATGTTATGATCTATTGATGTATATCAGGATGTGTGTTAACATGCTTCTTAAAACATTTGATTTTAAAATAAAACCCATTAAAGAGAAATACATAGGTGTGAAGAGGCTTCAAGAGCCTCAGAAGCATAAAAACTCAGTGTTTCTATTCCTTTCCCACTCTATGTAGGCTTCATGCACACTAGTGTTTTTTTAAAGTTCCTAGAAGCTGTTATTAGCTATTTTTTTTCTGCTCCTAGAAGCTAAATAGTGTTCTCCTATGTTCCCATGGACACTACTTTAGGCTATTAGCATTTTTTGAGCTTCAGCATCTAGGAGCAGAAAAAAATTTGTTTTGTAGAGTTTTTTTGGAGTGTTTTTCTCACAGAAAAAATGCTAAACGCTACTAAAACGCTTGTAACAGCTTTTTGTTTTCCCCTCTACATGTACTTTAAAAACGCTACTAATACAGTATTGCTCCTAAACGCTACTATGAAAAACTATTACCAGAATTTTTTTGAGCTTAAAAAAAAAACTCGCTAGTGTACATGAAGCTTTAAAAACTAAGCAAACATTTTGGCTGGACATACACTTTAAGTGGTTGTAAAGGCTGAGGGTTTTTTACCTTTGTGCAATCTATGAATGAAGGTAAAAAACTTTCTGTGTGCTGTTCCCCCCACACCTTAGCCCCCTTCTCGTTCCAGCGATGTGCACAGGAGCCTTAGCTGTCCCGGTTGTCTCTCTCCTGATTGGCTGAGACACAGCGGCAGGATCCATTGACTTCCACTGCTGTCAATCACAGCCAGTGAGGAAAGAGTGGGGGGGGGCGGGTCCGAAGTCCTGAACCCTGCTTATGGACACACAGAGCAGGGCTTGGGAGCGAGCATGCACCAGTGCCCCCATAGCAAGCGGCTTGTTATTGGGGGCACTGGTCAAGGGGGAGGAGCCAGGAACGCCTGCAAGGGACCAGAGAAGTGGAAGATCGGTGCTGCTCTGTGCAAAACCACTGCACAGAGCAGGTAAGTATACCATTTTTTTTTTTATGGACCTTTAATATAACATTAAGTTCTGTGTAGTGAAGAAATCAATAGGCACAAATCTTATAAAAAAATATGCAAATACTATTCTTTCTAATATTGTGGGCACTGGTCAAGGAGGAGGAGCCAGGAATGCCTGCGAGGGACCCAAGAAGTGGAAAATCAGTGCTGCTCTGTGCAAAACCATTTTACAGAGCAGGTAATTATACCATTGCTTTGGGGGTTTTTTTTATGAACCTTTATTAGAACATTTGGTTCTGTGTAGTGAAGAGATCAATAGGCACATATCTTATAAAAAATATGCAAATGCTATTCTTTCCAATATTACATAGTGCCAGAACTGTATCGTGTACATACAACCATTCAGCACAGTCCCTTCCTCAGAGGAGCTGACATTTTAATACCCCTTCCACAATCATAGAAGAATATATTAGGAAGAGTTTGGGTGGAACCAACCAGTCAACGTACCAGTGGTTTCTTGGATTGTGAGAGGAGGCCCACACACACATTCAGAGGAAACATTCTAGTATATGTATAGTAAAAAGCCCCCCCTTCCCTGAGCCTAGCACAGCTAGATAGGGGGGAACAGTTCTAGCACCATGTAGGCATTACATTGTAGAATAAAGTGTTTGAATGAGTAATGTTTTCCCTTTAAGCTTCTCCGGCTATCATAATTCCGCTCCTGCTTTTCACTTGCATATTGTTACCCAAGGGTTCATGCTATGAAAGTGATTTGCAAATTGTCAAGAAAAAACAAGCAGAGATTTACTAGTCTGTCCTGTTGATACTATCTAAATATGAAATGCTGTATTTTTCCTTATTTTAGTGATTGTGTCTCCTGCGCTGATGCTAGCACCTAATAATGAAAAATGGCTTTATGAAAACAAATACCATTAACACAGTGAGGTTTTCGTAGTGTCTCTATACATATGCTTGCACCTGTTGTGAATCTATAGGAGGCCATGCAAAAGATAAATGGTTTTTCTGCTGAATCTTGAAATAAATGTTTTAAAGTTAACTTGAGTGTAGTCATTGATAGGTAAATTAAAGGTGATGTAAAGACTGAAATGCAATCTAGTATAATCCAATATTTAGTTTGTTCCATGAAAACTACATATGGCAAAGTTTGGGAGATACATATAATTGTCTTACGAATTAAAAATCTCTCTCTCTCTCTTCTTTCAACTCCTTTCTGATTGTTTTTTTTTTTTTTTTTCTCTATTGCACAGAATTGAAGAAACAGGTAGAAAGTGCTGAGCTGAAGAACCAACGACTCCGTGAAGTCTTCCAGACAAAAATCCATGAATTCCGGACTGTATGTTACATGCTGACTGGATACCGTATAGATATAACCACTGAGAACCAGTACAGGCTGACCTCCATGTATGCTGAGCATAAGGAAGATAACCTGCTTTTTAAGGTATGACTCATCCTATATTTTGTATTGGTTTCCCAGAATCCTCTGCAGCTAGGACATTGTTCTGGTTTTCTTTTGTAATGCAGTGGCTTCTAATATATGCTATTTATAGCTTTATTCAGTTATTCCTTTTTTATAAGTTTACGTAAAAGAAACTTTACCTTTACTGTCACGTACCTGATGGGGGACTGAAATGACAAGGTCGGCCTCACTTGTGTCACTAGCCCTGACCCCACTGGAGTTGGAACAGAGGGAGTCTAGGACCCAGGGGACAAGAGCGCCAGTAGTTGTTGTTTGCAGCTCTTGTAGATGATGACCCTGGAAGACTGATGATCTTCTGATTCAGGCACAGTAGTAACAAGCAGAGCAGGTCTTGTAGATTGCCAGGCGTGCACCAGAGCAAGGCAGGTAGTGAGGGTAAGAGACAGGAGCAGTGTCATGGGAATAGCCAGGGTCATCAACAGTCGGGCAGCGCGGTACAGAATCAGAAGGAAAGCCAAGGTCAGGAGCAGTGCCGAAGTCAGGAACCAGTATCAATCAGGAGAGCAATCGGAGTCAGATGAGGAACAAGCCGAGTCAGCAACAAAGGAATCACACGGGAACAAGCAGGATACGGGGAAGCTGAAGACCAGTCAGCACTCAACATGGGCAGAGACACTCTTTAAATAGGCCGTCTGGCGCCAATCTTCGCCGTGCGTGTGTGTGATCACGCATTTCTGAAAGCATGTGCACAACCGGTAATTCTTCTCTGGGAATTCCTATGCGCATTTCCGATCGCGATTCGTTCTTGCCGGAAATCCCTTACACATACTAACCTTTATGTAATGGAAATATCCTATGTAAAGCATATCTAAACCCAAAAAACTAAAATTCAATATGTTGCAGTGTTACAGACCTTCTCTGTAGTGGCTTCTTTGTTTTTTGGGGGACTTTATTCCTTTATTTTCATCCAGTGATACTGCAGATGTAATGTTCCTGTCCCTTCAAGTCTACACTAAAGCTGGCCATACACTGGTTGAGTTTTGTGAGAAAGGTTTCGTTTTAGGAATGTTTGTTCAATTTTCTAATCATTAGTGACATTAAATTTCAACCACAGTGACAAGGAAATTTAAAGGAGCAGAATGGAAAAGGATTCTTGAATGAACTCATTTCTAATTGTGTATGTGGTTTCCCTTTGGGAAGGTCCATTTGTTCCAAAATCACATGTTAAAAGCAAAGCAAATTTTCCAGTTATCAAATGTACTGAAAATTTCCGTATGAATATATGGAAGTTCGTTCAAAAATCTATTATTGTATAATCACCTTAATTTCTCTATTGTATCTATGGAAGGTGACATGGTTGTCGTAAAGGCTGGACTTCAAACACGCCTGCCTTTGTTAATTTCCATTACGTGTTGTATTTCTTTACAGAAAGTAATACATACAGTAATTTCTGGCAAGATCAACAAGTATTTTTTGTACTTGCTGAAAATGTTCTTAGCTAAAATACAGCCACCATGTCTAAGCTGCAATATATTACATTTTTATTTTTTTGTACAAATATAGTTTAAGTACATTTGCACTGTTTGAGTCATTGCCATTGCAACCAAATTTCAGCTGGTATTTTAAATGTTTTATTGTTTCATAATAGCAGCCGGTCTGCATTCATCAGCTGGACTGTTTTATGTTGGTTTTGTGTTGGTGTGGTTGCTGCTGGTTACTGCATATAAGCTGTTGAATTCAAACTACAATTATACCTAGGTGTGCCTTTTACAGGAAAGATGTTCAAACATTCATATCTTTCAGCTGACCTTTTTCTTGAAGGAAAACCCTATTTCATTGAAGAATGATATAACATCAAATTTGCTGCACTGTATAAACGTTATTAAAAATTGAATGTGATTATGAAAAACTGTCAGAAAATTAAAGCTTTACATTATGGCCAGCTAAAAGATATTTGTAACCCCTCCAGAAATCGAATTTTCTGCTTGTGTGATTGGCTCACTTTTTTTCCCAGTAATGTCCATTGAGCTACAAGTTAAATTTCAGGCATACCCTGCAATAGGAGTTTACGATTTTGTGAGATGCTTTCTTATGCTCATCCACACCAAAAACAATGTAGACATTGCAGCTTTTCTTATTACAACACTGCGATAAATTACTTCAAATAGAGAAACTATAATCAAGCTTTCTTAAAGTGATACTAAACACCCACTGTTTGATTTCCATTATCACTTCTCTATTTGTATGGGGACAATAGCACTGTAATTATTTAAAAAAAAAAGTACTATTTTTCTAATCGATATACAGCTGTAACATTTCCCAGCTCTTTCCCAGCCTTTCTGCAGGGAAACATAGGCAGGAGGAGCTTCTAGTCCCCTGCTGCTGGTCACATATTCAAAAAAAAAAAAACATCCTTTGGGATATGGAGTAAAAATAAGTAACTAATATCAAACTGTTTTAAATCATCATACAAATATATATTTGCTATCAAATCTTTATTATTTTTTGCCAATAACTTGGTGTGGCCAGATTTCTGCCAGTTACAGGCTGTGTCACGCCTCTCCAGGTTGTGTCTTAGAATAACAGGTAGTTAAAGCCTCCATCAATCAAGACGTAATATCCCACCCCATTGTGTTTAGCTAGTTAGTGGGCCTGGAGGAGGAAGGAGGGAGTGGGCTGTCATTTACCACTGTGTATACGCCCACATGTGTGACTCTATAGTCGCTTGGGCTGCTCAGATGTAATAGAGAGGAAATTATTATTATTATACAGTATTTATATAGCGCCAACAGTTCACTCAGCGCTGTACATTACAATGGGAGACAATACATGACACAGTACAATACAATACAATACACGAGGGGTTCGAGGGCCCTGCTCCTTGGAGCTTACAACCTAGGAGGGAGGGGATAGTGGTACGGGAGGAATAGCTGTGGGGGATGGAGTGGTGGGGAGAGCGGAGGAGATCAGCAATTAGCAGAGGGCAGGGTAGGCTTCCCTGAAGAGATGTGTTTTCAGGGTGCACCTAAAGGTGAGATGCTCAGCATAGAAACTCACTGAAAACTGAGCATGTGCAGTAGCTGCCAACACTGCTCTGCAAAATCCCTAACCACATTAGGGACATCATCAAAAGGGGCAGATAGAGAACAGCAGGATCAACCAGGTTTTTTGCAAAATATAGAAAAATAATCCCATAGTGAATGAGTGAGTGTGCAGCATGTAATACAGCATTTATTGATAGATTTTTGTGATGTGGGTTATGTGACACTTTAAAGCCCCATTGAACAATTAGTTTAGGTCCACTAAATACATTCCAGGTGATAAAAAAAAAAAGCATTAAATGTATTATGCTGGCCATTCACTGGTGAATATTCATGAACATTCATACGAAATTGTCTCATCAGTCATTAGATGACTTGACAACTGTCACTCAAAAATATTTGCTTTTAAAATTAAATTTTTGAGTGAATGAACTTTTTCCCGAACAAAAACCATATTCATTAGACATTCATTTGAGAAAAAGTTTTAATCTTTAAATTTTCTCATCACCGTGGTTAAAAACAAACATGGATTTGACCCCACTGATGACTAGAAAATTGACTGAGTGTTCTTAAAAAGAAAAATTTCAAACACAATTCCTCTAGTGTATTGCTGACTTTATAGTTTTTCTTTCTGAGCCAGCCACAGCCTGAGTAGAAAGAGCTGTCCCCAGCCAGCATGCTGCAGAGTGGGATCTTTGCTTTCTGTGTGCAAGCAGTGCTTTCATTGCAGAGGTCCAACACAACCCCTACAGAGTCAGAACTTTAAAGCGGCGTTCCACTCACCCTATCAAAAATTAAAAGTCAGCAGCTACAAAAACTGTAGCTGCTGACTTTTAAAAAACAGTCACTTACCTGTCCCACGATCCCGTGGTGAGTCCCCCACAGCCCGTTTCACCGGCTATCCTGTATTCCAGGAGGCCGGCATCTTCAGTGTGGGCATCCGGCTGTGACTGCTTGCGGCTTCACAGCCGGGTACCCATTGCGCAGTCACAAGTAGTGTTGCGCTTCGTGAATGGTCCGGTAGTCTTCTGGGACCTGTCACATGTCCCAAAAGACTACAGGGAGGGAGGACACCTTCATAGAGAGAAAACAGGTGGCGCACACACCTAGTGCATTATCCAAGGTTTATTGTAGGAATTAAATCATAAAAACATACTCACAGACGAAGCATGTATCTAAAAAGCATAGAAAAATGACAATGGCCACAACGGCGGGCAAGGTGTTCTCACTGTCAGTGCGCTCAAATGGCTGACGCGTTTCGGGGACAACTCCCTTTCCTCAGAGCTGATGACCAACCTGTGGGGAAATGGCTGCTGGAATGCAAACCACAAGACAGGAAGTAAACTCCGGATGACTCATGCCTCTGAGGCAGCCATTTGACGCACTGACAGTGAGAACACCTTGCCCGCCGTTGTGGCCATTGTCATTTTTCTATGCTTTTTAGATACATGCTTCGTCTGTGAGTATGTTTTTATGATTTAATTCCTACAATAAACCTTGGATAATGCACTAGGTGTGTGCGCCACCTGTTTTCTTTCTATCCAGTGGCTGATTTCCCCGTCTGAGGAGGGCTGCACCCCTGGAACATTTCCTTTTGGTTGTCGCTGTCCTGGGACCCTTGGCTTCCCTTTTGACTGTGCATATCCTGAGGCGCTGGAGAGTACATACGCTATAGGGAGGACACCTTCCACTAGGCGATCGGACCAGAAACGGGAGCGTGTACCTGTCAAATTCAGGTACCCGCCCCCCAAAGGTGCCAATCATAATGGGGAGCGGGGGAGCAGTCCTTTAAAGCGGAACTTCCCCTTTTGGGTGGAGCTCCGCTTTAAGCATTTGGCTAACCACGTTGTGCTAGTCTGTCAAGGTTTTCTTTCCCTTTACTTGATTCTGCAGTCCACCAGACAGGCAAATTCAACTTGAAACATTCAATTGTTGGAATATAAACCACTTCCTGAACTTCACTAGATTTTTTTAAAAGTACCAATGTCCTTTAGTTCCCTTTGAAATCTTCTGCTTTCGGGTATTTCCTGCTTAATCATACAGCAAATGTAAAGTATAAGCCAAGGAACATCAAGCACAAACTCTGCTGTAATCAGGTGCACATCACAATTCCAGGCTCCAGCGATTTGCCATGGGGTCAGTCTGAGACAGATGCCGTGTCGTTCCTTGTGCTGATTTCCAGGAATTTCCATCCAGCACGCTCAGGCACACACATAAGGTATATTTTCTTCGACACGCCATTTACTCTTGAAAAATTGTGACCTTGGCTATAGAATCAGAACCCTAGCCAGTGTCTGAAGGGTCATAATGAAATAAATAAAGTAAATATGGTGGTTAACGTAGGCTGGCTACAGTGATATGTGTTTGAGTCACGTTGGTTACATATGATTCAGCCTAGCAGTGTGCACAGTGTGAAGACACGGCTCTTGGCAAGCAAATGGGAAATGAAAACTGACTGCAGACAAGCACTTTGTCACTTGCAAACAGTGTGTTCTTTGACCTACTGGTGTGTAGCGCAGGAGGTGTGTGATGTTCAACGCACCTTTAAACCATGAATTCTTAAAAACATACAAGTGTAAAGCTTTCCTCTCTGCAGGCTTCTGTAATCCAGGGGGTGAGACTGACTACAAAATGATGTTCTAACTGCCTCCACTTCAATACCTCCTCTTCATAGTATTATGTTCCACAGAAGCTGTGCTTGTTTCCTTTGCCTTGTTCATACTACACATGCAAGCTGGAAGATTCAGACATTTTTTGCTCTCTTTACCTAGAAATGGGGAAATGGATGTTTAAGTGGCAGTTATTTCAAAGACTAAAAATAATCTCCTGGTACAAAAATCACTCTGTACAATAATACTGCAGAATATTGTTGTGTGTTTGGAGGTTAGTTTCATGGGATTAACCTTCCTAGCGGTCTGATTATGTCAATATTTCTGTGCTCAAAGCGGTACATTTTTGTGCATGGAAATATGTATTTTTTTTATTGAAGGCCTGTAATTTTTAGGAATAACTCACTGAAATCTGTCCAAACAAGAGTCTAGTAAACATCCCGGGTATGATAAAATTTGAAACACAAAATCATAAATTATAATATAATAAATAATCATAAAAAATAATAATATAATAATAAATTTAATTCAATAATGTAATCAAACCAAAAACACTGAAATTTGGAATAGAGCGCCAAGTTCGCACATCACTGAGCAAAGTCGCAAAATCATTTTCAGTGTCTGATGACGAATTTCCCCACAATCATTATCATTTTATTCTTCAAGTGGTTCTGATTTACTATCGCTGTTCTCTAGCTGGTCTAAAACCGCTTTTGACCTAAAGGGACACTTTTTGGACGCCATGGACGTTTCTCAGTTTCCAGGAAGAAAGAACAGTAAAAATGCAGGCAGGGCACAGGACAAAGCACTCGGGACAAAATGTATGTGAAATGGTTTGATACAGTAATGATTTACTATGTGATTTTAGTGTACAGTATTTAGTCAATTTCAGTTTTAACATTTTTGAATTTCCCACCGGTTCTGTCCCCCGTACGTCCTGACGCTCGCAGGGACTGTAAGACAGATGCCGGCATCGGCCGGAGGAGATGGCCGGGGACGCTGCAGGGGGGACATCGCGGGGGAGCGAAGGACAAGGTAACTTCAAGAGGGAATCCCGGAGCACGCTGCTGAGTGTAGCTCGGGGTTACCGCTTCTGGTACTGAAAGTTAACCCCGAGCTACACTCGGGAATACCGCCAGGGAGGTTAATGTTACAGTCATGTGATGTACACAAATTAACCTCATAAGATTTTAGCTAAAATTGAGCTGGTAAAAATCACCCATGTAGCCTCAAACTGCTCCTTCCTATAATGCAAGGTTAGTCGGAAAACCATACAGTCCCTGTGGTAACGTCACCAGATTTAGACAAAAAATCCAGGGATACTGCTGACCATGCCCACTTTTCAATTACACCCACAAAATCGTGCTTTCTTTTTTAGCATGCCCTGAAACAATTGGTTACAGACTTTTGGAGCAAGATGCAGACATTTAAGGTATACAGACAAAATTCCTTAAAGTGTTACTAAACCCAGGACCCTGCATTCATTATATCTGGTCTTCCACAGTACACAGTACATGGAAATGCAATTATTTTAGTAAATATAAATTGATAAATACCTTTTCTCATCAGCTGTATATAGCAGTCTTGTGACTTCTATCAGTGTTCAGCCAAGCACTGGTTAAAGCTTGTAGGAGGAGTTTTCATTCTCCCCTGATTGTTCAATATGGCTTCATAACCCCTGACCCTCTGTCTGGACAGCACTGATTGGCCCTGTGCTGATCATATGGACTCTCCCAAGAAAAAAAAAACTCTCCACCAATACACACCAAACTGAGCATGTGCAGCTTGCTCCCAAGGGTCTGTTCTATCATCAGATGGATTGGGGACAGTAAAGAAGGGGAGGATCAGGGAAGACAGGATCAAACAGCCTTTTTACACAATGTAGAGGATTAACCCCCTAGGTTCCTCAGTGAGTTTAACAAGAATTCTTTACTGCATATTCAGACTGATTTTACTGATATGGGTTTAGTAACACTTTAAGCACCATCAGCAGAGAAATAAAGGTATGCATACCATAGTGAATTGTAGGTGCGGACAAATTATGGTCACAGTGGGAGGGACATACAATAGTATAGTTAAAAAAACAAACAAAAAAAACAGCCTAAATAACTCACAGAATGCAGGGGTCTGGAGTAACGTAGAGAATGTATGGGTTAGCAGTAATTAACACAGAGTGGAGATGTTAGGAGTAAGTAATAGAGTGCAGGGGTCAGTAGTAGGTAATGCAGAGGGAACAGGGATCCCGAGATTGTAACACAAAGGGTGCAGGGGTCAGAAGCAACACAGAGAGAGCAGAGGTTAGGTCAGGAGTAATGCAGAGAGAGCCGGGGTTAAGGTAAGGAACACATAACACACAGTTGTAATGGAACAAATGTAGCTGCTGTATATTTAAAATATATTATACCTTCATTTGCCTTGGTAGTGGCTCACCGGTTGGGCTTGGTTTCTCCAACCTGACAGTCCGACATCCATCCATCCATCATTTTTTTCCCTTTCTTTACTGGGTTGATGGAGAAATAGTATGCATACACATACAGTATATGAGAGTCGTAAATAAACAGGGCCCTGCATCATCATGCTTTTATGGGGGAATTGCATTTTAATATGTTTGTAATAAAGTAGATTTTATGATTGTCTCGGGGTCTTGGTGGTATGAATGCAGTGTTTATTGTATTTAGGTAATATATAAATACATTTGTATTAAACTACTATTAGTAGAATTTCGGGGGGAATATTTTCTTTGGGGAAGGTTCTGTGCTTCTATTTTAATGGCCCCAACACTAAAATAATTAGATGAGTTTTTCTTGTGGTTCTAATTTGGTGCAATACATTCCCCTTATATGTATTTATCCCCTGAGTGTTTTCAATTGGTGGTTCTTTATTATCCCATTCCCTTTTTATGTAAGTGCACTGTTGTATATCACAGAGTTCTTTTTATAAAGACTTGGTTAAATATTTAAACTCCTTTTTGTTCAGCGGAAAATCTGATAAATTAGATGACTGCGCTGTTATCAATTCTTGCTTGTTAGAAGGGAAGCAGCTAAAGGCACCCATGTTAGATAATGTCACTGTATAAGCAATGTTCCTCTTTCGCTCTCTGTCTTCTCTCTTGTTGGCTAACTGAATAAATTTTGTTCTGTGAGCTTTAGAGAATACTCAGTCAATACTCAGTACTAAGGAATTTTAGATGCTTATGCCACAACTTTTATTTAGTCAACAAAATGTATTGAATTTGATTTTAATTTGCTACAACTTCATCTATTACTAACGTATTGCTTTTTCATTTAGGCTCCATGCACACTAGTGTTTTCTTTAAATTAAAAAAACGCTGGTAATATCGTTTTATAGTAGCATTTAGGCGCATTAGTGTTTTTACAGTACATGTAGAGGCAGGAAAAAAAAAAGCTGTAAAAAATGTAAGTAGTACTTGTGAGCCACCAACTATAATTAGTATAGGTTTGCTGACATTCAACACATCCTCTATTTATGTGTCAATATAAATATAAATAAAAATAATGTTGCGCTCCTAATCTAGCAAATTCATAAAATAGTGTACCCATTCAATGTAAAAACTATTAAATGTACCATAATAATATAAACAAAAATAAATGAAAAATAAATATATAAAACCCATGTGATCAAAAAACAAATAATTACATAATAAAACCTATCTAATAAGACATCCTGTACATAACATATAATGAAAAAAAGTATCTAATTATAATGAAGTGACCACTCCCAGTGATTAGAGTGAAGTGACAAATTTCCAGTGCCTTCTTTAATAATGATGTCAACTCTTAGTGATGATAAATTCCAGTGACTTCCTTATTGTGATTTGAAGATGTACGCTCACCTCCTTGATAGCCTATAGTAGGCTTACTGCGCTTTCGTTCTCTTATGGAACTTTTAAATAGATGTGTATTGCATCATATAAGGTATAGTGGGTATCTCTCAACTGGCTCCCCGTCTCTCATGCCTGCTGGGATCTCTTTCTCCTGCAGCTCCTCCCTTGTATTGCTCCTTTGGACGTATTCTCAGTAGGAGAGAAGTGCAAAGAATAGTGCCTTATCCTTTTTATATGTAAAACACTTTATTCAATGCCCAAATGCACTCACATTGGATAAACATAAAAAACGCTTTTAAGAACAATAGAACGCCTTTCAACAAGCCGAACACAGCATGTAGTGTGTGTACTTGCCATCCACGAATGGTCTGTGATGTCTTAGTCCCTCCCCTACGCGTTACGCCGCAGGTCACGCGGCTTCATCAGGGGGTTAGGAGCATTTAGCATTTTTTTCTGCTTGAAAAATGCTCTAAAAATTTCTACGAAAACATTTTTTTTTTCTGCTCCAAGACCCTGAAGCTCACAAAGTGCTAATAGTCTAAAGTAGTGTGCTTGGACACATACTGTAAGATAAACACTTTTTAGCTTCTAGGGGCAGAAATAAAATGCTACTAACGGCTTTAAAGCGCTTAAAAAACACTAGTATGCCTGGAACTTTACTCTTTTAGTTTTTTTTTTAAAATAACATTTCAATGATGGGAGGGTGCATTGCTGTGACCCATTGTATCTTTATAAACTCACTGTCAGATATTCTCTGATGCCAAGTGGTGCCGCTAAAATTTATTTTTTTTGTTTCCAAAGAAATTAAAATGAGGAAACTGCAGAGACATTGCATGGACATTATTGTCATACTTCCACTCGCATGCTGGCCTTCTGTTTAGTAAATCATTGCATTCATCTGTCTAGTGCAAATATTTTACATTCATATAAAGCCCCAACTTCAGCTTAAGAAACCATCTAAGAATATATTGACCCGAAAGAGTAAAAAATACTTACTCAATGGTGCTGTTCTTGCAGATCCACCACTCTGCAATCTAGCACTGATCTTCTTCTGAGCCCCATTCAGCTTACTTCCTATGGGTTCAGGGTATCAAGGATCCGCCTCCTAGGGGTACATCATCAAAGTTCCCTGGGCTCACAGGAGAATGCTGATGATCTTTACTGCATTTAGTACCCACCTCTAGAAAAAAGATAAAGAGGACTTGTGATTTTATGCAACTGGGCCAAAGACCTTGAAAAATTGCTGACATTTGCGTAATATTTGAACAGGCAAATATTAAATCTCTATTCAAAAGGAACTTGATAATGGTGAAAAACAAGAAAAACTGGCATTTTCAGATATTTATTAATAAAGGCCATGGTGAACTGTGGAAAACTACACACATGGCCTCAGTAGCTGGTACTGCCTCATTTGGCAGAGATGATTTCTCAAAGGCATTTTGCATTACTGCCCACCGGTCCTGTACATTGATTCACTGAAATTTCTGACCACTCCTCCATGCAAAATTCCTTCAACTGCAACATGCTAATTGGTTTCCCTGCATTAATTGCCAATTTAAAATCCTCCACAACATTTCAGTGGGATTCAAATGAGAACTGCGACTAAGCCAGTCTCTAACCCTTATTTTTTTTCTTTCTGAGCCATTCCTTGGTGGATTTGCTAGTGTGCTTTGGAGCATGTTTAAAGATCCATTTCTGGCTCAACTCCAAAACAGGTGGCCTCAAACGCTCATAAAGCACACTTTGATATGTTGCAGAATTTATTGCTGATGCGATGAATGCAAGTCGACTAGACCCAGAAACAGCAAAGCAACCCCAAAACATAAACCACCATGCTTCACAGTTGGTATGAACTGCTTCTCCTGAAATGCTTTCTTTGGTTTGCTATAAACATGTGTACTGCTGCTGTGACAAAGCAACTCTTTTTCAGTCATGAGTTCACAGCACATTGTTAATGTGTAAACTGTTAATTTGTTAATGGCAAATGAATTAATGAATGCTCCCCGGGCTATCTGATCTCCAGCCTGTCCCTGTATGTGACTTGTCCTGTATATTAATAACTCACCTCCCTTATCCTACACATTAGCCCCCTAATCTCCATCCTCCCACATTATGGGACTTGTACATTAACCCCTTGGCTTCCTCCTCCCTCTTTGTATGACCTATACACTATTGAATCTAGTGCACCAACACCAATACCAAACTCCATGTTTAACCCGCCTCAATAACAGCATGTTTCCTCATTCCCAAAAAAAGTGCCCAAAAATTAAATCAACTTGGGGTATCTATTTTCAAAAAAAG